TTTGATCAAACGCTTTCAAATTTACATCATGTAAGCGACGATCCACCTGTTGTTATTTTTTTAGCTTTGAAACGACTTTGAAACGGAACGTGTTTTGAGCATGCCGCGTAGATGTGAACATTTTCATATTCAAATAGCTACGTCGAATAAACACCACGCAACATTTCAAGAGTGAAAAATATTTGCTTAAATTTTCAATTCATTGCGATTGAATTGCGTTGTTTTTCGAACCATAGTGAAGATGATGAAAGAATGAACGTAAACAACGTATTTTCGATGCGATCCATTTGATAAGGAACGCAAAATTCTGCACACGTGCACGGGTGGAATTGTAAATCCATCAATTGTTTGACATTGTTTTCTTAAAAAATGTGTGCGATAATATTTTGTGAGTTTTAATTGGAATTGTCTTTGTATGTGGATTAAATAATATCATTAATGTATTGCTGATGTGTACACTGTAGGTACATTCATTGGAATCTCAGAATAGTTGAAAAGCTGTCCATATCTCTATAGAAAGTGTTACTTATAACCAACTCTCCTATTCACTTTGAATTTGACAACTGATATTGAGCGCAAACACCACCTAGATAATCTAAGGCTAATGACAATACAATCAAGTAAACTCTCCGTTCTGTCAAACGTCATACTGAAGTATAACATACAGACATCACGAATTCGCCATCGGTTCTTTAGATGGCGCTTCGGTCAACCGAGTTCCAACCAAATACATGTATCAGTATACGAAGCATTCTACTGTTGAATGAAAATTACTTCAAATCAAATTAATCGAATTGCCGACCCACCTGATCATGTACCTGATATCCACCTTCTGTCTCAGTATATGGGAGATTTCGCTAAAGATACCTCAGCGCCTCTTCCTATTTGTTCCCTTATCTCTTACTATACATGCTGCGTTAAAATGTATGAGTAAGCCAATATTATCAGAAAACAGAGCTGGAAAAAACACTCTGTGTGTACGCGAGTGAGCATAGGATTATGCTTATCAGATAGAGTTAATAGTAATTACTATAAATAGCAAAAAAAACTGTATGAGCAAAGGCAGTCTTATCTCCTCCTCTGATCTGATCTAAACAAATAAAGAAATACGAACAAACAAACACTTCTAATAAGTCTTCTAATCCTCTCCTTGATCTTCAACAAATCAGGATAAAACCTATCCTAAATTGACTCGCGCACGAAATTTAGAACGCACTCACAGTAGATGTGTTTCTTGATAAAAATTACGAAAAAATTTAAATATAACAACATTTTTTGCAAGTTTTGTTATTGTTTTATTCCTATACGTTTGTTACTCTTGACGATCAGTTTCATGTAGTGAGTTAATAAGTTCGTGCGCAAAATCTGTTCAATATATGAAATGAGGCACGCGATTGTTTTTATTTAATTTTTAAGCATATTAACTAAAGCTCAATTTATAGATACCGAATTTGCCTACGAGTGTTATCTCAGTGATAATTATACCGTATATCTCGAATAGAAAAATAGCGTATTTTCAGTTCCGGAACGAAGTATTCACACGATCGTGAGATCGATTCGCTTAAACCAGGCACATAAGCCAGTGATGCATAATGTTGTATTTGTTCGGTAGTGAGCATGGTGTTATTGCCCGTCTGATTCATAGATAAATAAATACGCATAGCTGTTTTCAGCCACTTGTGTATTTTTGAAAAAAATAAATAAATTGAAATAATACTTTTGAAAAATTCACAAGTGGCTGAAAACAGGTATGCGTATTTGTCTATGGATCAGATGGGCAATAACACCATGCTCACTACCGAACAAATACAACCATATGCACCACTTGCCAATGCGTTGTTTACAAAGTTGACTGCGCTGACTGTGACACATCGTACGTTGGTGAAACAACATAGAAGCTGGCGGTACGTATGACTCGACACAAATAACACAGTAAAACACATACCACCAAAAACCATTCGGCACTCGCAAAGCATGCAATCAACAACAAGCACCATTTCAGATTTGATGACGTTAAAATTCTGGCCAAAGAACGAAACAAAACAAAACTTCAAATCAAAGAAGTAAATGAAATAATATGAAAATCGAGTCTGCAATGATAAAAATGATAAAAATGACTTCAAACACTTATTATAATCTCATTCAAATGGGATTTAATCGTTAGTAAGATTTTTGTATTTGCATTTTACACAGCACACACCCGTTTTGTTGTGATTGTAATCGAAATGACATCGCTTTCACTGTAGTCTAATTTGACAGTTCGCTGTCGGTGTGATAAACAAGTTCATCTCTTTAGAAAAATATACATTTAGGTAATATTTAATGAGAGGCGTAAATTCTTGCAGATTTTTGTACCATTATGCTTTCAAGCAGTAGTAGTGAAGGTACGGACGCAAATACACTGTACTTCAGTACTATTAATTGGTAAATAAACATGGCGGCTCCATATTATTGCAAAAAGCACAAATGGTATAAAGCCTTCACACGTTCTTTACATAAGATTTGCAACCAATTTTGTATGAAATGTATTACAATTGTTAAATAGATGATCCTGATGATGGTTTCTGCCCGAAATATATCGGTCAAAACAACGTCAAATCACACGAATACATATAGTTGAAATTACACTATTGACGGTTGAATGTTGCTCTAATGACATTTCCAATAACACCTGTTGTTCAAAACAAATGTTCTCAGTTTTGAACAGTACCACAATTATCGTGCTTGGTCATTTCAAAATCAGAATTTATTGTATAATACAATTTTTATTGCAATAATTCGCCGAAAACTAATGCACATGCAATCACTATTCCCCTTCTGAAACTAAGAAAATATTAACGTGTCCTAGGAAATAAAATGATAAAGATGACAGTCATGTTTTTTGAAAAATTTGTCATCTTTTTTCCTCCTCTCCAGAATGAAAATCATCTTTTATCGCAGATTTGATCTGGGACCATTACACATGATTCCTTCGAATGGATGAATTTAAGCACTCCTCTATTTAAAATCCCAAATGAATAATATGATTTGAAGATATTTGTTTAATTTGATTAAATGTTCGTTTTAATATTTTATGACAATATAAAATTTCCGTGCATCCAATATGTACAACATTTCTTAAAAAATATCACGACTGAATTTTTGTCCACCACATCTATGGTACTAAATCGGAGAAAAAATATTAAAAAATTTATAAGAATTTCAAATCTGGTTGCTGAAATCGAAATTACGCGTCTACTGAACGCAAAAACAATAGCTCAATTCCATTAAAAATGTGTGATTTATGCTTTAAAAAGGTGACAGTTATTATTGCCCACCCTGTGCATTTTCGTGCGTTTTTGTATTGTCCGTCGATATAATGCCCAAGTCGTCATCAGCAAGCTCTTCCTCTGTAAGTTCATTTTCGAAGAGTTGCACCAGGAAATCATAATCGGGTCGTTCTTGAGACTTAAATGAATCTAAATAGTTGAAGTATTCCTTGAAGAAATGTGGATTATCCGACTTGTCACAGATGTCCTTGAAATATTGATAGCAACGATGTATAACCTTAATGAGGATTCTTCATCTATGCAATAACATATATGACATGCCATTGGCCTTTTGAATTATAGCCAACAATTTTTTCGTTAACTTACATCGATGCTATGCTTATTCCACTGTTCAAGTACAACGTCCATCGTTATATAAATGTTGTCATATTCCTTCGTAATCTCTGACCATGGAAGTATTACGCCGTTCAATTCAAGCAAAACGAGTCCGAACGAAATTAAATCATCCTTTCGTACTTGAGTGTATCGATTCAGCGGTCCCCAAGCCATGTAATCGGGAGTTCCATAGAACTTAGTGGCTTCTTTTCGTGGTTTTGATACACCCATATCATCGATATAAAATTCACTGAATGCAAAATCAAAGAAAACGATTTTATTTGCATTCGATCTGCCAACAGCAATGTTGTGTGGTTTAACATCATGAAATATCAAGCCTTTTGAATGGATATATTCAAATATCCTTATCTAAAATGAAATAATTGGATTAATGTGTGGTGTATTTATTATGAAAATATTCGTCAATACGTACGCCTTGTCGGCCAATTTTGGCAATTGATGTAAATGTGAATTCTTTATCTTTGGTTTTGTCCTTCAATTTATGTAAAGTTGGACCTGTTTTTGACATTACTAAATATTTGTATTGGTCAAAGTCTCCAAAATGTATGATATGCGGTATGCCACGTTGAACGACATTAGGATCTAGAAGAAGATACGAATTTAGTTGCATTGCATCCACGGTTGTGGTATAGACAAATGAATATATTCACCGCGAGCACCCAAATGTATATAGTTTTTATATTCTTTTTCCAGTGACCAATATCTTATTTCCGATGCAAATTTGATGGCTACTTCTTCGTTGGTTTCCAAGTCTTTTCCTTTGAATGAAATGGTAAAATTGGCACATTACTACAAATTAATCACGAACGTATTCACATTGCATTTACCACTTCGTACAAAACCAGTGTATCCTTTACCAAGACCTTCTTGAACTAAGAACCGATCGTCAATAATCACATTCCATAATGGGTCTTTAGGTGGATCTAGTCAAACAATCGATCGCGAAAAACGTCAGAAATTTGTGTTTACAACCGAAAATGAATACTTGCTGCTGAGCAGGCCTAAGCTGAGCTGAATTTGCTGACTCAGGCGCCTGAAGCGGAATTTTGACGCACTTACGGTGCAAAATTGTTAGTGCTAGAATCCACCTTGATATAAATAATTAAAAACGTAGATTCCAGCCAGCACTGACAATTTTGACACCGTAAGTGCGTCCAAATACCGCTTCAGGCGCCTGAGTCAGCAAATTTAGATCAGCTCAGGCCTACTCAGCAGCAAGTATTCACTTGCATTCTCTGGTATACAATTTTAAAAGAGAAATTGTGGACGTCACTAACTTGAATACATGATAATAAGGCCCATCAATATTAAACTTTGATTAATTAACGCCAGAATCCTGTGGAATGTAAGTGTGAATATGATATTTGCGAATCAAAATTTATCCAATTAAATCCTACATTGTCTTGTGCAGCCTATCTGTGTCTATACTTACTGACGACTGCCGTGATTATTGCAAATACGTTCTGCTGCAGCAGCGAATTTCAAATGACGATGCAGACCATCTTTTATTCTCGTATGAATGATTGCACAACATTGCTAGCTATGGCTAGCTATGTAGCGCTGCTTTTGAACAGTGGCTGTTGGTTAAGTACTTGTGCATGCGACACACTGTAAGTGCCGCGCGCCAACCAATACATTCAGACGGAGCTATGTGTGTACTACGTTCGTGCATGTTCATGCCTGTTAGAGATGGTGCGCGGGGCCAATAGTGTGCCGCATTCACAAGAACGTAACCAACAGCCGCTGTTGACAGCAGCTGTTCAAAATCAGCGCTACAAAGCAAGCAAAATTCAATGCTCTGAAATTTAAACAAATCCGAAAATTCTTCTGGTTAATATTGAAGACTGTGTTGGATGTTTGCTATTGACAAATTGCTATTTACAGCAATATTTCGCTTATTAGCGTTTATTTGCACAGTTGTTCTAAAGCCTCTCGTCAGAGTAATGGATAAAATCGTGAAATACAGCAACTCCATATTGGCAATCATTTACGGATAAAATTATATCCGAAAGTTTATATGAGAAGATTTCTTGATTGAATAATTCAAAGTTTTGAAGAATATGATTAGATTGTTATTTGGAAGAATAATCAATGAACTTTTGAACTGATTCTAGTAAAAAATGATAAAATTTAGAAGATATTGCTATTTAAATGACACCAAGCACATGAGCGTCTGCTTACAGACTGTGCACGACTGCATGCTCGACAGCGACCTGTATTTTTAGACTCGTATTTGTCGAAATATTTGCACAATAAAACCCAGATTTCCATATTTTTAGACACAATGAACAAGATTTTTTTTTGTTATTCAGATCAATTCACTTATTTTCATTTTCTGCACACACAAACGGTTTACTGCAACGTCATTGAAAGCAAGCTCATTGCATACGTTGCGTGACGAGTCTACAATGTGTGGGCACATTGAAATGGACTTCAATTTTTCTCTTCGTTTTCGTAATTGTAATTGATTTTGAAGTTAATTGATTTGTTATTTGTTTGCATTTATTTATTAAGAAAATGTTTACAATAATAATTAATATTGTTTGTTGTTTGTTGTTTGTTGTTTCTAAACATAGCCCAGTATCAACCAGTAGGTAGGTTAACCTAGATACTTAATTTTTTTCGGTACAGGCTCAGCCTAAAATTAGCTTGAGTGTAGACTGATTCAATTACAGTTGATTGAGGTGTCTAGCTTTGATCGATTGAATTCCTATTTATCAAGCTCAGCCCTTAGATATAAAACTTGCGCAAAATATGTGTAACACATTTTAGTGTATTATCTATAATATGAAATTGGGACGATTTCAAAATATAGTAAACAAAAATCGTTCATCATCCATCAATTTCATTTAAAAACACATAAATTATATTCATCAAATCGCGTATACTAAATTTCCTAGTGAAAAACATCTTTTGTAGGTGATTTCAGTGTATTTTTCAAATTGCATAAAAGCTTTGTGTATGATCAATTGGTCATTGATCAACTTGAACGTGTAAATATAATAGCGAACAATCAATGAAATGCAATTAATGATATATGTGGCTTTCCAGAAAAATGTCATAATATGGCGAAAAAAATATGAGAAAGAGATCCCGAACGAATAATATCTTAATAAAGGTTTAACAAAACTTGATAGATAATTCTAACTTTGTGGAAACTTTTTTCTCTTTCCTATGCGAACTCACGAAGCACCATAAAATAGGAGAAAGTAGTGTTCAACGTCTTCATGAAAACTTCATGAGTGCATCGAGCGCTACCAAATCCCCGTAGATAAACACTCTTCTGGCTCAGCTCAATCATCATTGGTAAAATCTTTTGTTCGTCCAAATGTAGGTTATACCAAGCAAGCTTAAACAGTTCATCTCCGATGTCATCGAAACGTTGCGTGATACGATTGCCAAAGTAACAAAATAAAAAGAACCAGAATAAGACTACGGATGCGGGAATCAAAGCGCGCAAGATATTGACATAGTCTTCGGCTGTCAGCAACTAACCAAAAAAAGTGAAAAAAAAACTTGTCTAAAAATATATATTTTATACAACTAAAGTATCTAGGTCAAAATATTTCGCAGTATTTTCGTGTTTGGTAAATTTCATTTTGGGAATTTTGTCTTCGGGAATTTTTTTTTGGGAATTTTGTCTTCGGGAATTTTTTTTTGGGAATTTTATTTTGGGAATTTTGTCTTCGGGAATTTTTTTTCGGGAATTTTTTTTTGGGAATTTCGTTTTGGGAATTTTGTCTTCGGGATTTTTTTTTGGGAATTTTGTCTTCGGGAATTTTTTTTCGGGAATTTTTTTTTGGGAATTTCGTTTTGGGAATTTTGTCTTCGGAATTTTTTTTTGGGAATTTTTTTTTGGGAATTTTGTCTTCGGGAATTTTTTTTCGGGAATTTTTTTTGGGAATTTCGTTTTGGGAATTTTGTCTTCGGGATTTTTTTTTTGGGAATTTTGTTTCGGGAATTTTTTTTCGGGAATTTTTCTTTGGGAATTTCGTTTTGGGAATTTTGTCTTCGGAAAATTTTTTTCGGGAATTTTGTTTTGGGAATTTTTTTTCGGGAATTTTGTCTTCGGGAATTTCGTTTCGGGAATTTTTTTTCGGGAATTTTTTTTTGGGAATTTTTTTTCGGGAAATTTTGTTTTGGGAATTTTGTGGATCGGGAATTTTTTTTTTGGGAATTTTGTCCGGATACCGAAGGACACATATGGTTGCAATAAATATAATTCCACTAGTGATTTTATTAATTGGATTTTTAATATAACCTGAGACAATTAAAATGGTGTGACATGTTTACTATGCATTTAATTTGATAGATCGAATTTGCTTTCAATCAATTTTTCTCTGAATAGGTTTTGTAGTAAAGTGTTCGACAACGAACTAATCGACAGCTAATATGTTTGTTTTTCACCAATTTGAAAATAGTTCTTAATTGAATTGAATTTTCTTAGTACCAAGTTGAAGTAAAGTTTTGTGAAATTCACGCAGTTTTGACAGTAAATAAATGATAAATCGAGTATTCAAAAGAGGAATGATATTGGGAGAAACTGTCGTTTTATGATAGAATGAAATGTTGTATTAGTTTTATGTGAAGAACAAGACCATGTTTAGTATTGCTGCAATGACAATTATTCCTGTTTTAGGCGCTCAAATCAAATACATTAATGATTAGGATTTTGAATATTTTCATTGTCATTCATTAAGGGATATTAGTGTTGTTATATCGGCCATCAGTGTGTTCAAAAATAGCTCGTGGCATGGACGTCGAGTCTCATGCAAATGTGGACAAAAGAAAAGATCAAAATGTGAAGGAGAGTATATTCTGTGTATCAGATAAATTCAAACTCGAGTAGAAATTTACATATTCATACAGATGCTTATCTCATTCTTTATTTTAAAGAGAAAACTCAAACAAATTTGACATCCATAGAATGAAAGAACTCATAAGCCCTTTAACCACAGCGTTTGATTAAGATAACATCTTAAGATATGTTGACCAGATAAGATAGATAAGATTTTATCTAATATCAATACTAAGTTGTGTCTTTTTTGCTCTAAATTTTTTTCCGTCTCAGTTATAAATAAAGAGCTCATAAGTTGTTCTTTTATTCTATGGGTAACATTTATAATGTGTTAAATTGATCAAATGCAAACGAAAAGCTTGTGATTCAGAAGATCGAAAAAGAATAATTGATTAAGCTTGCACACTTGAGTTTAAGCTCGGAGAAATGCCCTTCTAGGATTAGTAAATCTAAATTGTGAATAAAATCAACTTATAAAGTCTCCCAATAAATCAATATGGTTTTTAATGCTAAAATAAATTCGTTCAAATTGAACGACAAACCAAAAACCAAAAACCGTATCGTAGCGGTTGACTCTAGAAAAATATGCAGAAAAGGTTCGTATCATATGTTTTGTGTCTTATATGAAAAGCTAATAACTCGTGCTCATTCGCTCATAAAAAGCTCCCTATTCAACCAGCAATGCGTTACTCTCCAGTCTCGAATAACGAATGGTCCAGTACACACGCAGCGTTGCATAATAAAGCAGCTCAATGATGCTCAGTGCTGAAATTCCCATAAATAAACCAAGCAACCCGCCACAAATCGCCAGAAAATCGGAGAACGTATAAACTTCCATTCGTTTCGCTGTCTCAACTTGTTCGCCTTGAATGAGGATGGCCAATCTGGTCTGTTGGATGCTGGAATGATGTTTATAAATCATAACCTATTATAATCTTTCTAATTAAGGAGGAAATCGAAATAATTTCCGTTCTGATTCAAGTCTCTATTAATTCAAATATGATTCATACTCCGAATCATTCGATTTATAGCCAGGGATCTTATTTATAGCCGCTGCGTCGAATTTAATATGATCGATACTAGTGGAATATTCAATTGATGTACACGCTGGAATGCAATTACATGTAGCACTAAACGATTCTGGACTATCATCAGTGGATAATTTTCGCATGGCTGTTTCATAACAATTTATATTCGCTGTGCCACAAATTGTGGTATAAACATCCCCTGAAAGTTGTAAGTTTCATTTCATGGCATTAAAATGTATTGAAATAATGTTGGGAAAAGGTTCACAAATAAATATTGGCCATGTTAAAACTCATCATACTTGGCATGGAAAATTTTACACATCCACATTCGAGTTTCGTGAAATTCGATAAACATTCCTCTTCGCAATTGGTCTGTGTGTACATTTTGAAGAACCGTAGTCGACGTTCATTTTGGTAGAAACATTGCCGTTGATTTGGCCGATAGCTGCGTAGTCCATCTGATGTGGTGATCCATTTCGGTTTGATTGTTATAAGAGAGTTTTCTGAGATTGGAACTCGCAAAGAATTAAGCGTGGCCTTCAATTCTTCGCCAGGCATACTCAAAATGACTCTGAATCCTTGATCAAAACCCTTGCAATGGAAGTCGAAGTTTCTTTTGAAAAGGGATGAGAAAATATATGGAAATGAAGTATGATATGAAATGGGAGAACCTATGACAGGGGAATCAATTATACAAAAGGATGAAGCTTAGCGCTCATATGTCAGTCAATGCGACATCAGCGCCGCTTTATTTGAACTAAAATGAGGTACTGTCAACCTAACACTCGCCATCACCCATTGATATGCTATAAATTTATAATTTTATCCCTCAGTGATGCCGTTAATGTGAATATTGTGAGAGGTATTGGTGAGTATTGGCATGTTCTTGTTCTTATATCGCACTTCGCTGTACGTTGACAGTACCTTATTGTAGTTCCACTAGGGCGGCGCTGTATCTCTCAAATTTGATGTTAGAACTGTCAATTAACATAGAGATTTTACCTTTTCAAAAGTGTCAGAACAACATCAAACGCCGCATTTTTTCCCGAATCAACCGCGCGAATTGGATACTCACCATCACTCATTTCATTTGCATACCCACTTTCTAGGCTCCAATGTGACACATTCGGCATATTTTTGGTGATCATCATTCCCGGAGCCATTCTAAACATAATTTTATCTCTTATTTCTGTATTTAAATTTGTATCTATTGCATTTGACGGCCTGAGAAGAAAAACCTTTCCTACAAAACCTGTGCGCAGAACACAAACACAGAAATTTTTTAGTCAAAAGGCGAACAGCAAATTTGCGAGCGCAAAAATCTAATATATTTACAGCGACCGCAAAAGCATAACAGGCCTACTTATACGGAGTTTGCATGCTAGTAGGCTTGTTATACTTTTGCGCTCGCTGTAAATATATTAGGTTTTTGTGCTCGCAAATTTGCTGTTCGCCTTTTGACTAAAAAATTTCTGTGTTTGTGTTCTGCGCACAGATTTTGTTGGAAAGGTTTTTCTTCTCAGGCCGTCATTTAGTATCAGCGACACCTACTCATCTGTGTAAATGTCATGTGAATTGAGCGCATTGAAAGCAAAACAAATGCCACTTTCGGTGAAAGTCGGCGCAACATATTTAGAACAATCACATATCTTGTTCTGCCACCAGCATTTATACATGACGTCATCCAACCGGGGAGCAGCGTCTTCGATGAAATCGTAAATTGAATCATTGATGTACTTATTCGCCTGGAAAAAAAATCTCACTTATGAGCCGTGTTTTATTTCTTCATTTACTTTCTTTTTCAAAGTTTAACTGAAGGAAAAAAAATTAGTACGAATGATACTTACCTCTGTATAATTTATTTCCTTGAACACTATTGCAGCATACGAACAAATATGCATTGCCATCATCATTTCCGCAGCCCTTGTGGAAGAAATTTAAAGCGAGAAAAAAACCATATCATATTTGAATTTGGAAAAACGAAAAGTTAAAATCTAAGACTATCAATTGAATCAACACTCACTCTACGTCAGATAATTTTGTGAATCTACTAAAGGCAGAAGAAATGTCGAATTTGCCTTTGCTTTTCAAGAATTTAGTTTCGGGGCAAATGGTCACAGTTGGAAATGGAATTGCCGACACATTTTCAGACTCAGAGAAACTCATTTTCACTGGATTCTCTTGCCATTGAACCCAAACGTTACGGATCATTGAACTGCACAAACAAAAAGACACACCAACGAATGTAAACCACCATAGCCTGAATGAATAGCCAGAGAGTTTTGAGTGAGAACAAACACTACGCATGAATAAAAATTGTCAAGTGTTAGACATTGTCTAACTTAGACAAGCAAATGACCTTTCACTCCAGTGCAGGATACGTTCGGTGAAATATCGAAGGCCATGAATGTTGCTATTGTCACAGTACTCTTTGAAAAACCGCCCAACTGGGCAAACGAACCGGGTGATCCGTTTCCAGTTACTGTTATCGCCAAATTCGACGAAAAACGCGCGTAATGTGCACAGAATTCTAGCTGCAATGCCATTATCAGCACTGCTATCAGCCGGTAATGCTGTGACACTATCGTCCGATCTTGAGCGACGAATGGTCCAAAACCAACGCAATGTTGAAAAATAAGCCAGTTCAATGATGCTCAGAAGAGAGACTCCTAAACCCAAACCAAGCAATCCACCACAAATGGCCAGGAAATCGAAGAATGTGTACATTTCGATACGTTTTATCGTCTCCATTTGATTACTTTTGTAGAAAAAAGCCAGCCTAGTAAGTATAAGGCTGCAATACCAGATAGAAGAAATATTTTTAAGCAGTGCAATGTGCATTCATGAAAAATAATTTAAAAAAAATTCCAAAAAATAATATTCGAAATTATATGAATCGTTTCTACTTATAAGGGACTCGGCCATCACCCGCCATAGATTCTACAGCATCCTTAGCATCATAATTGATTCGATCGACTTCTGCTTTGTATTCAATTGACGTACAAGTAGGTAAACAATTGCATTGGTCACGGAATGATTGAGCAGTGGTTGCCAATCTCTTTTCAGCAATTCGATAACACTTCACACTAGCCCCACCGCACATTTTTGTGTGTTTATCTCCTGCAGAATAAAGGTGTTTTTATTGATCAAAAACGGGAATGGCCAGGAAGTTAAAATTGAATAAATTCAATACTTGGCATGGAAAATTTAACGCATCCACATTCGATATTGGTAAAATTGGCCAAACATTCCACTTCACAGCTACTTTTTGTGTAGATTTTGTAAAAACGCAAACGACGCTCATCGCTATGGAAACATTGACGTTGCGCTGGTGTGTATTTGAGTATGCCTTCTGAGAACGTGGTCAATTTGGGTGTAATTTTTATGAACGTGTCTGCTGAAGTGGGTACTCGTAAAAAATTTCGTGACAATTTCAACGCTTCACCTGGTACACTCAGAACAACTTTGAATCCTTGATCGAATCCTCTACACCTGTATTCCAAATTCTCTGTGAAAGTCGAAAGTAGAATACTAAACGCAGCAGATGGTCCCGCATTATGCATACGAATTGGATAATCGTTTACATCCGATTTCGATTTATATCCACTATCCAAGCTCCAATGTGAATTATACCTTAGAATCTCCGTTCCTGAAGCCATTCTAAAAACGAAAACAGTTTTCTTTTCTATAGACATCCAGTGATTTCAAAACGTAACGTCAGCCTCTATGTTCATTGATTTGAGAGAAAGAATAGCGCCACCTGGGGACTAAGTGCAATGTGTCTTATCGGTAAACATATCCACGTATACTTCTACTGTTTGCACTAACACAGGCACGCTTGACTTTTCTTGTTTGACGTTTCATATCTGTTCGTACAGAGGCTCATAGAGACTGCGTTACGTTTGAACTTGATTGTTTAGCATTAAATTTACACTCTTGTGTAGGTCTCATTCGAATTTAATGCATTGAATGCGAAGCAAACGCCATCATCTGTGAAAATTGGAACGAAATATTTGGAACAAAACGTATAAGGCTCATTTTGCCATTTGCACATTCCCATTGATTTTTCTAGAGTCAATGCAACATTTTGAATTGAATTGTAAACTGAAGTGTCCGTATAATTGTCAGTGTATTCGACCAGATCTGGTAATCGCGTGCATACATGGGCCAAGGCATTCAATCGCGTGCGCCTGATCAAATACGGATAAATTATTTGAGTATGTACGTGTACTGTTCGATTCGAGTTGAATTGAATTCATTCAAATCGAATTCGAATGTAAGAGTAACAAAATCGTTTGTGTGTTGAAATGTAAAGGAAAGAAGGGAACAAATAAATTCTTACTGAACACGAGATAAGTTGGATAATGAATCAAGTGTAGCAGACACATCGAATTTATGCTTAAATGTTTTAATTTCAGGACAAATCGTTATAGCGGGAAATGGAATCGACGAAACTGGCATCACTTTCTCAGAAAAACTCATAGTGACTAGCTTTTCGTCCCATTCCGTCCAAACATTACGAATTAAGGCGCTACACATCCAGACCGAGGCAGCAACAGCAATTAACCAATACAACCTGTGGTCCAATTTCAAGTGAAATGAATATGAATTAGTCATGTCTACTGCTTATATGAACTGCTGAGAATAAAAGGCTGACGATTGCAGGTTTTTCGCAAAAGCGGGATAAAAATCAGTCGTACGCAAAAGAGACATTTCAAAAGGTTGCACGCAAACGGAACATTTTATTTTGTCGCATTTTGAATTTTAAAGCCGCGATTACAACAACAATATACTTCTCTAGGGGAATTTAACT